TGTCCTTCACCTGCGGTCGGCAGCTCGTTTCCCGCATCTCTGACCAGCTGTCATCCTCCTCATCTTGCTGCCTCTCTGCTCTCTGCCCCCCCCCTTTGCCTGCCAGTTCACAATTCCACTCCCTCCACATCCGCCTCGGTACTCTCATTTTCTCTCTGCCCTTCCTCCCCCCTCTCTCCCGCCCCTCCACTGTAAGGTTTTTTTTGACCTCTACGGATCCACCGCACAGTGCAACCAGCTGGCAGGGCGGGACCTGCAAGCTGTGGGAATGGAGGCAGACAGCAGTGCCAAAGTTAGGCACCGTCGCCTGAGACATCTTCCCGTCAGCGCCAAAGAGACAGCTCGGGGCCGAGGCCACGCGCAAGTGCCCAAGCACAACGTGCACCTGCCACAACATCTCTAAGAGAGGGGGCAGGCACACTTGACCAAGGGGACCCCGAGCAGCAAGCGCAAAAAGAAAGCCAGCTGCAGGGAGACTGCAACTGGACGCTATCTCGAGCCGACTGCCTTCGACTGTGCAAGAGGGACAACAGGCGAGACAACGCCCTCCCACAAGGGCCGCGATGGCACCGAGACGAGGAGGGCAGAGGCCGTGGGACGCGCAACGCACACACGCACGAGAAGCGCGCCCAACGCCAAAAGAGAGGATGTTGGGGCCCTGAGCCTACGCTCAAAGCCACAGCAACATCCGCCGAGCCACGGTCAGGATGGAGTCATCCCCGTGCTCGGACCCAGAAGAGGTGCACCCAATATGTGCGCGCACCTTCCCCCAGAGATGGGGTGCCTGACGCACGTGCACGACTACGCCAACGACGAGAGAGCGACAGCCTGGCAAAGAAAAAACTCGACCACCCACAAAAGGACGACGAGCCCACAGCCCCTGGTGCAGCCAGCGCCAAGACGACCGACGGACTCGCCCCAGATGTGGGGTAACGCACGGATGCCTGCCAAAAGGGTCAGTCGCATCGGGCCGTGCAGAATAGAGATGGCGTACCCTCGCCACAGGGAAAACTCGACCACCCACAAAAGGACGACGAGCCCGAAATCCAAGGTGCAGCCAGCGCCAGGACGACAAACGGACTCGCCCCAGATGTGGGGTTAAGCACGGATGCCTGCCAAAGGGGTCAGTCGCATCGGGCCGTGCAACAAAACGAAGACGAAAAGGCGGCCCTGCGCCACAGAGAATCAATCCGAGCTGTCCGACTCGTCCTGGCGGCGTCTCGCCAGGAAGGAAGGCGTGAGACGTGGTCCCTGAGAAGGAGGCTGCGGAGCTGCACCTTCTTCGGCCACTAGCCGACTCCGCACGCATATGGGACCCTCTCGATGGGAGGAGCTAGCTGCAGCAGTCATATCGTCCTTGCCATCACAAGGACGTTGCACGCACTCCACTTCCCCCCCGTCAGTCACACCCACCGAGTCCCCACCCACTCCAGACGGTCTGTCGACGCCCTCAAAGACAAATGAGTCAAAACAGGCCATACAGTTGTCAAGGTCAACTGTGACCCGTTCTTTCCGCTTGAAGTAGTGAGGGTGGTCACCGCGCCCTCCACTGTAAACGCGGCAGGAGTGTAGCTTAGAACTCAATACGCTGAGAGGGTGGTTCCCAAGAGACTCCAAACATCCCATAAGAAGCCTCTTGTCCAGGACCACCCAGACACGGTGGCGAGGTGGGCCGACAGCCACTCGATCCGCCGCCCCCTGCGGCTCGCCACAGGGGTGCACAGCGTGCAAGACGTTTGGTCATTTCTGGGACGTTTCGACATGTCTTCGGGACCCTCGGCCCAACCCGCTGGCCACCCAGAAGGCTGCTCGGACTTGGGCCTCTGCTGGCCCGTCATCCCCATCAAGACACGTCAACTTCCCAGGCCGCCGGCCCTCCCGCTCCAGACGGCCCCAAGATGGACTTCGAGACGGCCAAGGATGGTTTCCTAGACGGCTGCGGTGGCCCAGAGAGAACCGAAGATGGCCCCTAGATGCTTTCAAGACGGGCCCATACGCCACAAAGCTGGTCTGAGATGGCCTCAAGATCGCCTCAGAGGCCTCCAAAATGGCCCCAAGAAGGCGTTCAAGAGGACCTCCAGGAACAACCAAAAGGGCCAAACTCATTAACTTCGAATAAGATTCGGGAGGGTTTTCGCGTTTGCAAATTTTCGGCGTTCCCACGGCCCAGGGCCGGCTCAGAGGCTACCAAGATGGCCCCACGAGCGCCCGAGAGGCCTCCGAGACGGCCCCCCTGATGGCCCAAGGCGACTCCAAGAGGGCCCCAAGAGGGCCCCAAGACGGCCCAGGAGACCTCCAAGATGCTTAAGATGGCCTCCAAGACGGCCCTGACGGGCCTCACGAGGGCTACGTCGGCCCAGAGAGGCCTCCAAGACGGCGTCCGACAGGCCAGGAACGCTTCCAGACGGCCCAAGGCCTCAAGAGTGCCCCAAGAGGCTCCCAAGAGGCCTCCTCCTCCTCCTCCTCCTCCTCCTTGTTCCTCCCTCTCTTTCTCGTCTTTCGTTCCCCACGTGTCCCCCGAAAAGTTTCCACAACGGCTGGGGGAACACATAATCCGATAGCTTAGCCGAGCTCTTGCCGCAAAGTTCGGCCACATAGGCGGTTCCGAAAGGCAGGGGCGGAGGTGATTCGCCACAGGCGTCTTCGATCGGCCGCCCAAGGTGCTCGGCGTGGTGAAATTCCATACTTGGTGGCCCTTCTGGAAAATTCCAAATGGCCTCCAGCCTCACCCCCGCTGACCAATCGGAAACCATGAAAATAACCAGAAGGCACCCCCGAAAGCTCAAACTTCACACAACCTCCCTTCGGGATTGCTCAATGGTCTCCAAGACGCCTCACAATGCCCGTATAAGCCTCCAAGACAATACAAGATGGCCCCTAAGACGGCCCATGATGACTCCAAGACGGCCCCGACGGCCCTAAGAGGTCGCAAGGAGGCCCCGAGGGGCCTCTGAGAAGCCCCCACGGGGCCACCTCCTCGTCCATCTCCTCCCTCTTCTCCGCCCTCTTCTGCTCCTTCGCCTCTTCCTCCCCCACATGCTGCACATGCTGGTTACACATCGGCTGGGGGACCACGCAGTTCAGTTACTTGGCCAAGCTTTGGCCCAACGATTCGCCACATCGGCGTTTCAAGACAAACGCGGGGCGGCGGTGACTCGCCGTAGGCGTCTTCAATACTGACCCTGCGGCATGTCCGACCTTGTGTGCTGCAGATGCCTGCCCGAATGCTTTGACCAGCGCACGGGCCACGCGGTCCCTTTATGAATCTGCCCTGGTCGTACTGAGACTCTCGATCCAAGGCAAGTCACACAAAAAAACTCACGAACTTCAGAAGGCAGCAACGGCGTTGCTAGTCAAGCCGGTTGCCCCCGCTATCGCCAGCAGGCCCCCAAGAGGCCCATGCGAAGCCCCAAGACATCCCAGAAATGCCTCACAGCTGCCCTGGCCCATGGAGGCTTCCCAAGAGACCCCCAAAAGCCCCTAAGAAACCCCTCATGCATCACCCACACACGATGGCGAGACGGGCCGAAAACCACTACACCTGCTTGGCATGGGGACGGACAACGCGTTTATTTTGTGAGGGCGCGAGGTCGCAAGCTTGGTGTCTTGGAACCCTGTTGGTGCTAAGACTTCGGTACGACATACAAAAATCTAGCAACGAACCTTTCGAAATTCAATGCATCTTACATTTCTGGGCCTTCCTGGTGGTCCTTTTGGGGCTCTTTTGGGCCGTCTTGGGGTCCTTTTGGGCCGTCCTGGGACCCTCTTGGGCAGTCTTGGCAGGCTTGTGCCGTCTTAGGGCCCTCCTGGGTCCCTTTGGGGATCTTCGGGGCCTCTTGGGCCGTCTTGGGCCCTTCTAGGCCAGGAAAAATGAGAACCAGAAAAACCTTCAAAAACCTTGAGGGAATTAGCCTGACGAAAGACCCAACCATATGCAACTGCGAATTTCGCATTGTAGGTACCGCTTTCGGTGGAGCTCCCTGTGGGGCCACGAACCGCGTAATAGGTGTGCCAAAATGGGTAGCAATCCCCGCATGAGGCCTGAGCCGCTGGGGCCTTCGGTGGAACTCCCTGTGGGGCCACGAGCCGTGTGAAAAGTGGGCCAAAATTGGTGGCGGTCCCCGCATGCGGCCTGTGCGGGCTGCGAACCGTGAAACATGTACAAAAATGGGTGGCGGTCCCCGCATGCGGCCTGTGCCACTGGGCCTTCGGTGGAGCTCCCTGTGGGGCCACGAACCCTGTGAAAGGCGTGCCAAATGGGTGGCGGTCCCCGCATGCGGCCTGTGCCGCTGGGGCCTTCGGTGGAGCTCCCTGTGGGGCCACGAACCGTGTGACGGGTCTGCCAAAATGGGTGGCGGTCCCCGCGTGCGGCCTGTGCCACTGGGGTCTTTTGTGGAGCTGCCTGTGGGGCCAGGAACCGTGTGACGGGTGTGCCAAAATGGGTAACAATCCCTGTGCCGCTGGGGCATTCGGTGGAACTCCCTGTGGGGCCGCGAACCGTGTGATGGGTGTGCCAAAATGGGTGCGGTCCCCACGTGCGGCCTGTGCCACTGGGGCCTTCGGTAGATATGGAGGAAGTCTCGAGCGGGAGCCTCGTCCGTGAGTGAATTGCGAGGAAGTCTCGGGCGGGAACCCTCTCCCTATGGGGCCCGCACCTCATATTTGAATCCGAGCGGGTCATCCGCAACATGTAACTGTCGTCACTTTTGCGCTCTTGAGACCTGAATATGGAGGAAGTCTCGAGCGGGAGCCTCGTCTGTGAGTGAATTGCGAGGAAGTCTCAGGCGGGAGCTCCCTCCCTATGGGCCTGCACTTCATGTTTGAATCCGAGCGGGTCATCCGCAACGTGTAGCTGTCGTGACTTTTGGGCTCTTGAGGCCTGAGTATGGAGGAAGTATCAGGCGGGAGCCTGGTCTGTGAGTGAATTGTGAGGAAATCTCAAGCGGGAGCCCCCTCCCTATGGGGCCCGCACTTCATGCTTGAATCCGACCGGGTCATCCGCAACGTGCAACTGTCGTTACTTTTGGGCTCTTGAGACCTGAATATGGAGAAAGTCTCGAGCGGGAGCCTCGTCGGTGAGTGAATTGCGAGGAAGTCTCAGGCGGGAGCCCCCTCCCTATGGGGCCCGCACTTCATGTTTGAATCCGAGCGGGTCATCCGCAACGTGTAACTGTCGTCCCCACATCCTAAGTGGGGTTCTTGTTTTCTCTGCACACCCTCCGCGCAGGATCTCTCCTCCTCCTCCTCCCTCTCCTCTGCTCCTCTTTGCTTCCTCCTCCGCATCATCATCACCATCACCATCACTCCCCACTCATCATCATCATCATCATCATCATCATCACCATCACCATCAGCATCACCATCGCACGATCACTCACCATCATCGGCATCGAACGACCATCCTCATCATCATCATCATCATCATCATCATCGTCATCATCATCACTACTCGCTGACTTGAGGCCTGAATATGGAGAAAGTATCGGGCGGGAGCCTCGTCTGTGAGTGAATTGTGAGGACGTCTCAGGCGGGAACCCCCTCCCTATGGGGCCCGCACTTCATGTTCGAATCCGAACGGGTCATCCGCAACGTGCAACTGTCGTCACTTTTGGGCTCTTGAGACCTGAATATGGAGGAAGTCTCGAGCGGGAGCCTCGTCTGTGAGTGAATTGCGAGGAAATCTCAGGCGGGAGCCCCCTCCCTATGGGGCCCGCACTTCATGTTCGAACCCGAACGGGTCATCCACAACGTGTAACTGTCATCACTTTTGGGCTCTTGAGGCCTGCATATGGAGGAAGTATCAGGCGGGAGCCTCGTCTGTGAGTGAATTGTGAGGAAGTCTCAGGCGGGAACCCCCTCCCTATGGGGCCCGCGCTTCATGTTCGAATCCGGGCGGGTCATCCGCAACGTGCATCTGTCGTCACTTTTGGGCTCTTGAGACATGAATATGGAGGACGTCTCGAGCGGGAGCCTCGTCTGTCAGTGAATTGTGAGGACGTCTCAGGCGGGAGCCCCCTCCCTATGGGGCCCGCACTTCATGTTCGAATCCGAGCGGGTCATCAGCAACGTGCATCTGTTTTTATGCTTGGGCTCTTGAAACCTGAAGATGGAAGAAGTCTCGAACGGGAGCCTCGTCTGTGAGTGAATTGTGAGGAAGTCTCAGGCGGGCGCCCCCTCCCTATGGGGCCAGCACTTCATGTTCGAATCCGAGCGGGTCATCCGCAACGTGTAACTGTCGTCACTTGTGGGCTCTTGAGACCTGAATATGGGGGAAGTCTGGAGCGGGAGCCTCGTCTGTGACTGAATTGTGAGGAAGTCTCAGGCGGGCGCCCCCTCCCTATGGGGCCCGCACTTCATGTTCGAATCCGAACGGGTTATCCGCAACGTGTAACTGTCGTCACTTTTGCGCTCTTGAGACCTGAATATGGAGGAAGTCTCGAGCGGGAGCCTCGCCTGTGAGTGAATTGCGAGGACGTCTCAGGCGGGAACCCCCTCGCTATGGCGCCCGCACTTCATGTTCGAATCCGGGCGGGTCATCCGCAACGTGTAACTGTCGTCACTTTTGGGCTCTTGAAACCTGAATATGGAGGAAATCTCGAGCGGGAACCTCGTCTGTGAGTGAATTGCAAGGAAGTCTCAGGCGGGAGCCTCCTCCATATGCAGCCCGCACTTCATGTTCGAATCCGAGCG